CGTGACGTGACAATGTAACAAATATACGTGTATAACAATGCTTACAAACAATTGAATGAAAAGAAAGTGATAAATAAATATATATATATATATATATACAAGCAAGCGCGCGCACACACATCTCTCTCTCTTTATATGTATTTACGCATACATATATTAATATATATATATATATTATACTTTTAAAAAGGATAGATACATAATTTACTGTATAAAACTTTTGAAGAAAGGATAAAACTAAAACGAGAAATATTACAAAAAAGGTAAAACGTTCATTTAGCCCATCGGGGTGGAAAGTTCCCAGGTCAAAAATTAATTTGTTCTCTTGTACTTCGCGGTTATGTTTGTTTGTAGGGGGCCTTCCTCAAAACAACACTTTTAAAATGGCCAAGGGTATGGTTGTGCAAGTTGAAGTGTCGGGCCGCTGGTTTATCCATGTTACAATTTATTATGTCTCTGAGATGTTCTCGGGTATATTCTGCTGATAATCTACTGGTTTCTCCTATGTATAATTTTCCAAAACATGAGCAAACGATAGAATATATGACGCATTTTGTTGTTCAGTTAAAATTGATCCTTAATGTAAAAACTCGACTTAGGACCCTGCACGGATGTTCTTGAGTCAATGTAAACACATGTGTTAGAGCGTTCTCTATTACAAGGATAGCTACCTACAATAAAATTTGTGTCTGTTGAGGTGGATGTTTTAAGGCTACTATGAACTACGTAGTTTCCAATATTGGTATCGTGACGGTAGGAAATTATGGGGGGGGGGGGTCTTGGAAAAACTATGTTAAGTAGTGTTAGATCCTTTAAAAGATTTAAGGGGCGGCCTGGTACAGGATATTTTATAGTTCATTTCCGTGATAGATGAAGAGGAGTTGTGGTATTGATTTACAACATATAATGAATTCCTCTCACAAACTTCAGAAACCGCTTTAGGGAAGGGTACTAATATAATAATTATTAGTATGTTGCCTACAATCCCATAGTGTGGAAGGGAGGCTATGTTTCCTCTTTGATGAAACTTTCTTTCCCCGTTACCATTTATACAGTAGTGGGATTCAAAGTGTGCATGCCTCGACCTTGTGCAGAGTGCCTTTCATATGCAGTAGTGGGATTCAAAGTGTGCATGCCCCGACCTTGTGCAGAGTGCCTTTCATTTAACATGGCATTGTATTTCTGATGTTTATGTACAACTGTGTAGGAAATTACGCGTATTGGTTGTTTAAAAAGACGTATGTCATAGGTCAAACCACTAAGGATCGTGACTACCCCAAAAACATTCTGAAAAAAGCTTGCAACTGCAAGCACATCATTGGTTAATTGTGGGTAAAAAAAAACACCTACATTGAATTCAGCATTTCTTTACAACATTAGAAAAACAATCTGAGAAATCTATTTAAATTTTCAGTACAATTAAAGTTCTGAAGTGGCATGTAATCACAAATCAAAGTCCAAGTTTATGACATTACGCATGATGAAATATAAAACAATGTACATACCACTGGAAATAATTATGGTAATAGTGAGGAAAATGGATATAAAAGGTAATAACTTTTGGAATTCCACCCCTTTAATGTGTGGAAATAAATTACATTAGAGTACAGTCATGTGTTGATTGTTTACACTGTGATTGGGTTTCAATCAACCAATTATGAAGTGACAGGTAATCATATCATGCATGCCTAGTAATGGTAGTTTATATCCAGTCATTGCTTTCAGGATTTACTGGCACTGGTTATATCAATGTAAGTATCATTGCTGCTACCATTCAAACCCTACTTTGTTGATGAATCATTTACTCATATACAAAGTGGGCAAAAAGTCTGGCTGCCCCCCCCCCCCCAAATAAAAACAAATAAAGATAGTGTACATAGCAGAATTTATTGCCCATTAACATATATATACAAAAATTTCCAAAGTGTTCTTTTATGAGGCATTTCTTTGTTAAATCTTACACAGAAGTCAGATCTTACTTCTAATGTTTTACCTGTGTAATTCTGCTCGTGCACCCATATGCTTGTGACTAAGCATTCTTCTATTGAATAGTGACTTGAATCTACCATTACTAAAATGTGAAAAACTAAATCGTTAACATGAGCTTTAAATAAGAGGGGTACCCAGACTTTTTGCCCACATTGTACATATAGTAGCTGCAATGTTATCTCCATTGGCAAAACTAAATGCCATTTAACCATGTGCATTGACAAACACATGGGTATTTCCTATAGAACCAGTCACCCTGTATCATCTCCCTGCACCTCTTCTATTCACACACACATACACAGTCAAACTACTGGACACAAAATATCCTCAACTGACTTTTAAAGTTTTAGCTACGGGGGTAGGGTGTCCTGAAACTGCTCATTAAAGAAAATCTCCCGACCTTGAATAATAAATTCTGTTGAGTTAAGCCTATTCGAACTGATTTAATTAGCTGAATAGATACTTTTATCAATTCACTTAGTTTTGATCTATATTATTTCTCAGTTTCACTCACTTGCTTTTACAATCCCCTCTATACTTACAATCGTTTACCATAGTATATGAGAATCTGTTTAACATTCAAGTAACTAATTGTAATTATAATTTTTGGTGTTTACTGTAGTAATTTGTAGAAGATGGAATGTGTATATTCCAAAAATTCCAATAAATATGTTATTATTCATCACTTCTGTGGTTGTATTGCTCAAATTGACACTTACAGTATTTAACAGTATTAAAAAAAAAGTGGTAAACAAATTAAAATGGGTTAATCTTAAAAATTTTATATGAATTTAGAATTTAGATTTTATTAAAAATCTTATTTTATGACTTAATTACTTTTACATTAAACTGGTATCATTTTTTCACTTTGTAATAACATCAAAATAAAGGATAAAAAAAATCTTATACCTTGATAAATTTTAAACAAAGTTTAAGAAGTTTTACTTTTATCTTCTATAATTCATAAAAGTGGTCAAGATGAAGTATTTCCTTTCAAACAATTACAACATAAAGTTAGTTTCAAACATAATAAACTAGAAAACATTTATCGAAGATCTTAATTCTGAAGAAACTAATAATTTATCTTGTAATTGTACTAAGTTTTTTAACTGATTCTTTTCTCAGAATCATATCATTATCTAGAAATTAATAAAGATGAAGCATATTAAATGTTTTAAAAAATGGTGTACTAGATTTGGAATTTTGAAATCACAAATAAAACTGAAATACCAACATGCTTTAGGCTAGCTAGCTGAATGCATATAACTACATCTATTATATTTGTCCTTTGCTGTATGTTCTGTGTTCAAAACTATTCTGCGCATAACATTTCATGAACTTGCATTTTGTAGATATCAGTGTACATCACATATGAAAGACTCACAGAATAGCCCACAATGCATATCTAGTTTCCACTACTTGCTTTTCTTGATGGTGTTTAACTAGGAGGGAAGTCATTGTTCAATTATATTCCTACAAGTATTCGCTGTTCAACTTTTTACGAAGATCAAATTCAAGCTTTTTATTTTGTTTGCTTAAACTACAACACTCAATTGTAGTTTATTTAACAAAAAGATCACTATTTACACTTTCCAATATTACAAGTAATAAATAATTACACTGTTATTCTTGAATGGTTTTGTGTTTCACTTGCACTAATCTAGTGATTATTTTTGTCTCATCTTAAAAAAAACTCTACAGCACTTAGGTGGAGTATTCTTCAAACTGGACATTTTTCATTTAACTATTATACTGCAGTAAGCCTTAGAAGATAATCTATGCTTTTCTTTTAAAAAAAACCTACAAGAATATCAAAAATCACAAAGCATTATCCAGTTATAATTACAGCTTTGAAATTTTCCAGCTCTGACTCTGTTCTTAGAAACAACAAACTTGCTTAACAGATGTTATTTTATTTCCACAAAATGTACATGTATTAAAAAAACTAATAAACAAATGTCGAACTGAATGCCTAAATTCAATGATGATTCAGGCATGCCCTTCCTTCTTTAGGCTTCACTACACATTGAAGAAATTTACAATAGAATGAAAGATCAGTGTAAGTTGACAGTAGAATGCTTCCAGTTATAATATTAACATCTCAACCGAGACAGAGTGGAAGGCATTGTTGGCAACCAACCACCAAATCAACAAATGAGAAATAAATTGACAGAGTTGAGAAAAGAAATCTAGAAAATTAACTTATTTTCAGATTAAGTGCAATACAACCTCCTTGAATGAATGAAATATTTTCATTTATGTAAATAAACTTTACATATTTGAACATTGTGTTTACTTGTATCATTTTTTAAGTGATTCTCCTTTAAGTACACGGACTTTATGTATATATATATATTTCATATATGTACTAACCAATATTAATTTGTTTTATCTTATGCATGCCATTCCCCCATTTGAGACTTTACTCTTACACTGACAGCCTTCTACATGTTTTATATGCATCTTTAACCTCAACATAATTTCACTCAACTTTGTATTTATTGTGGGAGTCTCAAGAAGGATTGAAGTTTCTAATGTCACTTAATCTTGTTTGTATTTTTAAGAATTTTGTGCAAGGATACTCAAGGGCTAACTTTAATAGCCATCTCTAATTTAGAAATGATAGACTAGAGGGAAAAACAGCTAGTTAACACCACTCACTACCAACTCCTGGGCTACTCTTCTACAAATGAAAAGTGGGATTCACTGTCACATTATAATGCCTCCACAGCTGAAAGGGTCAGCATGTTTGGTTATATCATTCAAATTCATATCATATGTTTATTAAAATGTGATTTTAGTGTATGTTTAATCACACAAACTTTTAAACCTAAGAAACAAGCAAATTCCTGGTCATTTCTAAAACTAGATCAAATATGAGAAATATCAAGGCCTACAATATTCTGTAGTTGTTTCACTAAATATTATTTATGTCTGAACAATACCTCAAAATGGCACATTTTCTTGATAAACTACACTGAATACAACAGAATAACTTACAGAAGAAGTTGTCAAGTCAAACAATATCGTTTATTTACAGATAAACAAGTATGTTTAACAAATTTCCTTTAAAAAATCATTTCACATGATTTATTTGGCATTATTAGTGACGAGTTTTTGAACACAATAGAACAGATTCTCATCAAATCTTGCCCCTGATGATGCTAGGTAAATCTAGCAAAAATGTTTTTTTTTTCAGATATTTACTTAGCTATAAATAAAATACTAAATACAGTTGAATCTCTTTCACATTAATTATAATTGAAGTTTCTGTATCTTTCTTGTCATTTATTTTTTGATGTATTCATTACATTAAACATACTTGAACCCAAAGCACTAATTCCTACATGGTATATATAAAAAAATCACAGATGTAATATAATAAACTGGCAACATATATGATTATAAAGCTCAGATTTAATGATGATTATATTTGTCAGTCATGGCTTTTAAATTATAGTTTGATAGAAATTTAAATATTTTTATTGCTTATACAAAACATCACTTTGCCCCAGAAAAGGCTTGCATGATCATTTTTAGTAATCATAGTAACTTGATAAATTATCTTGGAAAACAAAGGTGGACAGCAATTCTTTCAAAAGAAATTAAAAATTTATAGTTTTTCAGTAAGTCAATATATATATATATATATATATGAGTTACTGATGGTGTCTGTGGACCAAAAGACTTGAATACATTTTTAAAAAAAGATTGCATTACAATTTACACAAAAGACTAATGTTTTAAATCATACAAAGCAGCCACTTGCCAGCATTCTTGATGATAAATTAGACCCTTCAGAACATGTTAAAAGATGAAGGCAAGTTGGTATTTACGTGACAATCTATCAATTTTATAAGATATAGCAATATGATTAAGGCCATTTTTCAGGTTTACTTTTGAAAAATCATAGGCCAGCAGTTTAATAAAGCACATTCACTGCCCCAAATTTCTTTCATTATGCTTTTTTAATAATAATGTGATATTTAGTAATAAAATACACTTAACTTAGAATACATATACTTCAAACTGCCAATTTATTGTATTGCTATGTTAGCTGTAAAAACGAAAAAAACAAATCAACTTGGAGAATTATGATAAGAGTGAATAAAAAAGTATACAAAATTTGTTTAGTTTTCTAATTTCTCAATAACACTTGTTTGTACAATTTCTTAAGATCAAAAACAAACAACCAGCCCATGGTGCACTTTAAAGTATTGTATGTATTACAGTAAAAATTAAAAACATTCTAAAGTTTAATCCAACAGCAACTTGTTTTTCAATCTTAAAACTTTGGCTTTTGAAAGTAAAGTTGATTGTGGTTCAATAGTTATAGTCACATCTTCAACTAAGCCAGTAAAGTAATCAAATGACTCCAAACAGCCACAAAATGTTTTGCTCTTGCTTTGCATTTCTGTCAATTGACAGATGTTATGATTATTATTTTAGTATTGAAACCTGCACAACTTTATGATCATTACTACTATGTAGCAGATAAAAAAACTGTGACAAACAAATGAATTGGGTAAAAGTTGTTCAACAGTGATAAATTATTTAAATTACTGAAAAGCTGCAACCAAGATATTAAAGATATTAAAAAGGCTATATAGTACAAATGGAGAATAATAGTGGGCACCTACCTGTATCGTGATAAACTCAGGACATTGATGACATTTATAGCAAAATTAGAAATACTTCTAAGGAAGTTCTAATTGTGAGAGATTTTAACTTTGGAAATGGTATTTGAAATTATACAGAATCAGACAGTGAAGGTTATAGTATTTAATTTTTCTTCATCAACTAGGTTAAGAGATCCAATTATTTGGATTTAATATTAAACACTGAAGATTTCATTTAGAAGGGTAACATCTGGGAGTCAGTGATAAGGTTTTGTGGTATGTTAAGATCCAGGTTAAATATCATAGTTTCCAATCTCAGACAAACTAATTTTGATGCTATAAAAAGGAACGAACTTCAGGTAAATTGGAGCAGACTGTTGATTGAGGAGCTTGTTGAAGTGAGAAATCATAAGGAACATTACAACAAATACAAAACAAATATGATTGCATTAGAGAAAGAAGGACAAATGCCAAACTTAAGCCCAAATGGCTTCCAATAGAAATCATATAGGAAATTAAGAAAACATATTATAAATTTAGAAAATTCAAACAAACTAACAGAATAGAAAATTTAAAGACATATAAAAGTACTAGAGAACTGGTTAGAAAGGATATTAGGAAACTGAAAAGGGCATATATGGGAAACAAATGGCAGAAATTGTTAACACTAAAACATTTTTATATGTTAAAATAGAATTGGAGTTGGACCTTTGAAAATGAAGAGGGAAAGGTTTGGGTATATGAAGATGAAATGGCTGAACAAGTAAATTCTTTTTTCTCATCAGTTTCTGCTGTAAAAGAAATAACGTGGATTCACAAGTACATCATCTGATAATCATGAATGAAGTAAGGAGTAAGCCACATCTGGTAAAATTCATTAAGTCTTATTTAGTGGATGGGAAACTATCAGTCTATGGTCAGAGAAATTCCTCAAGAGATTTAGACAGGAATGTTTATGTCTTTTCAATTTTCTTTCTTTAAAAATTTTATATTTAATCTCAGTATGGGTGATACAGTGTGTTGGGTGAGCCTGAACTTTCAGAAGACGGTCACTTTTGGTAAGGTGACACAAACTTCTCAAGAATATTTTATTTCTTGATTAGGAGATAAGATTGGTAAATGAATTCCTTCAGAGTTGTTTGGTGGTAAAAATCAAAAGATTGGTATTAATGAGTAAAGCCACACTGAATTAATGAAGCATTTGCTATAACACAAATACAAAGAATTTCAAGAAACATTATTAATTAACATACAAAGGATTACATAGAAAAATGAGAAATATATAATGCTAAATAGATAACAAAAACCTAGAGAAATCCAGCAGAACAAAGGATTTTATGAAAAAGTGGATACTAACTAACGATCACATTACCAAATAAGGATGAGACAAACTTGAAACACATTACGTGAGTTAGCTGGCCTTGATCTAGGAAGTAAGGAAACTAACAGTTATGATTACCAGCACCAAACAGACTCCATTCCATGAGAGAAAGCAACACGTTGATAACAGAAATTATCATTAGATGAAGCAACTTCATAAAAAACGATTAACAGAACTTTGAAGAGAACCAATAAGTGAAAGGGTATCTGTAAAAAGACCAAAGTTACATGGTTTGTCTCTATACCCTCTTAGTTAATAACCTCGAATGTTTACACCAATGTCAACAAATAATTACCGAGAGATAGTTCCATATGAACCAATTAGCAAGTGGTTGTGGTTTGGTGGAAGATTCCACTTGTACCAATTAAGTTGAAGGAACTACTTGCAAAAGTAGATCCACTCAACTTATTGAGAAATTGTAAAGACACGGAAAATTGTGTATAAAACATTGTGTTTTCAATGCTGGAGTCATCTTGCTCCAGCTGAGCCAGACTGACCAGTTATCATGGCTGTGTTACAACCTCTCAAGGAGATTCATCACACAAACTCTTTGTAAGCAATGCTACCTCTGATATAGTCTCACAGTGTTTTACTTGTATAAAGTATAATGTCTGAAAAGTGAAAAACATTACTTGTATTGAAGATTTAGTAAGAGTAGTAAAAGATATCACTGAATTGCTAAGAGATATACTGGAAGATTTGCTATCACAGTTGTATAATGAAACTATAACTGAAAGAGTTTCCTGTATTACTTTAATAGATAAGCTATCCAATGTTGTATCCATGTGAATAAACACAGTAGAAAGTTTGATTACTGAACATATCAAAAATGAAGAGTTTGATAGTTTTGATTTTGGATTATTTCAAGATAACTTTGGAAACTTTGATTTAGAGGAACTGATCAATAGCTTGGAATAAAACTTATTTTGTGTTTGTATTACAAATTGTCTCCGAGTGACTTTCTTTATTCCACACTTAAATTCCTCAAGTTGGTGGCTTGTGTGCTTAACCCACAACTGCATAACCTGGACTTAAAATAAATTCATTCATAACTTGTGCGAACTTGAACCCAACAACTATGCCTAAGGGCTACATAATGTTATACTATATTCTTTACTATTTTCTAATTTCATTAAATGGCATTGATTATAATAACCAATAGATTGTAAATTGGCTAAGTTTGTAGACTTGGATCATTTTTGATGAGCTGGAATAACACCAGGTAAATGCCTTTTGATTTTAATAAAAGTAGGATTATGCACAGTGATTATCAAAACAGTAATTATTCTTTAACATTGCAGGGAACTAATTAGTTATTACAAAATCTCTAAAGCCTTCTACAGAATATACATTAGTTAGTAATAAAGCAAAATAATTTTAGGTTGTACACATGGGAATATTGAGTACAAGTCAAAGGAAGTCATCAATTCACTCTGTAAGATGCTGGTTAGACTTCATTTAGAATACTGTGTTCAATTTTGGTTACCTTATTTAAAAAGGGATGTTGAGTTGTTGGAGAGGGTTCAAAGAAGATTTAAAGATTACTGTATGGAAATGGGATGAAATTTCTATACTGTAATGACATATTTTCACTGGGGGAAGAGAACTTAGGTGGGGGAACATAACTGAGGATTTTAAGATTATTTGATGCTTGCAATTAGTATATTCAGATGACATTTTCATACAAAACACTCTGCAGGCAGTAACACTAAAGACAAGTTTAAAATATGGAAAACTCAGAAAATGTTAGTAAAGACTGTTACTTTACTCATAGGTTGATTGCTTTGTGAAATAATTTGCCTTCGGGTGTGGTAGAAACTGCAACAATGAAGGAGATTAGATGTAAGAAAATGAGTTGTTACATATAGCTTGCAGTAAGCTAGTAGTATAAAATGGGATAACTTAGATGGGTTCAATATTGCACCTTTTTGTCCCTTCAAATTGAAAATAATATTGTAGTTTAAAATTAAAACTTACCCTTTTTTTAGTAAACATTTATTTTTGATATTTTCTTCAGGTTGTTATCAAATGTCCAGCTGAGCTGTAGTATTTTTGTAAAATTCATAGCCTAAAGGGGAAGCAATGTAAATGATGAAGGTGTATGTTTTTCACATTTTGATAGAAGCTTTTTCATAAAAGCAAGGCTTTGACAAAACAGAGATATTTCAGACAAAAATTAACAAAGAAACCTCCAAAAGTTATAAGAAAATTAAACAATAAAAAGTAGGTGTTTATTATTGGCTGTAACATGTTTGATTCACAATGAATTAAGCAAATAAAACAGATCATTGCATACTTTGAATACTTCATACTGTATCCCCATGATATTTCACTTGTCTATTCTGTCCACAGCTATAGCATTAAAAACCCAGAAATTGATCAGTAATGGTTCACATGACATAATGGATCTTTAAAAGATCAATTATTCACCAATAACAAAATAATGCATTATGTTAATGGTAAAATTACATAAAATAAAGTTCTTTGTTAATGATTATTTATAAATTGTGTTAAAATGACATTAACTTGCCATGTTGTGTGGCAATAAACACAAAAAAGGAGCTATAGCATCAAAGTAAAAAAAAAAAAAAGACTCACCAGAAATATATTTTACAACAACAAAATATTATTATTACAATTTAGTTAAGTATATATTAGACTTAGCAAGAATGGCACTAGCTTTTGTCAGACCCTTGTGCAAAACTGAAATTGAAGTCTCCAAATGAAATTTGAAATGAAGTATCTTTAATCTTTATTGCACAGAAAGAATGCACAATATTAAGTAATAATCATAATTACAAAGCAATAAACAAAACTGTACTTCTACTGCTTGAACTAAATTCAGCTCAGTGACAATTCGAAACAAACTCAGTAATTCTGGTTCTAACAGTATAATTTATAATGATCTTTTAAATACTAGTTCATTTGAAATAACTGCTAGTTTTACCCTTCCATAACTAAGAAGAATATATCTTTATATAGGTATATTCAGGTTAATTTTTCTCAATTTTCTTGCAAATTTTTTGCAAGTACTTATAAACCAGATGTTGAATGGTTGTAAAACTGCACTAATTAAACTCATATCATAGATAAAAGTCACACAAAAAACAATTATTCAAAACAGCTGATACTTGATTGGCCCAATTGCTGTGGTACAAATACTTGTACAAGTTAACATAAGCCAGGGGTTAAATCCTTTGAATATGCATAAATGGAATGAAAACTATTGTAGGCTATTGCACTAGGACCTTGGTTGCACTTATATGTGGTATCATTATTTTTCTTGTTCCTGTCTTCATGTGTAGACGTGCTTTTCTCCATCTCCAGCAGTCAGAGTTTATTAGTAAATATAGATGGCCAGTATAGGTAAAGTACCAACAATATTTTGTGTTGTAGGAATAAAGACATATGTTTTATTTGCACACACTTGTGTTTGCTTGGTTTTGTTTTTGCTGTCAAAATATATTTCATTCTTTGCATACATTTCTGGAATTTGTTGTATTGTGGAAATTTGATACTTTTTTCTCAAATATGCTTGAATACAAAAATAAAGTCTTCAATAATTTGTGAATACTTTAGGACTCCTGATATTTCATAAGATGGCTTTTGATCAATTTTAATTTTGGAAAACTTCTTTGAAGAAGCATAAAACTTGTGAGCATGGTCAGAAGTATCCTTAAGACAAGTTTGGATACACTTCTTGCAATTTCATACATTCAAATTCATGCATAAGTTTAAGAAATTCAAGATAAGTTAATCAATCTGGAACATTAAAATAAATAAATATGAAACTTGTTGCAAAATTTCCACACCATCTACTACCACAAGATTCTCCATCTTGAAGCATAAATTGACGATCCTGGCAATATGTATTAGATAATTTATTCTGCACTCTTAATATCTCTAATATTACAAAGAAACCCAATATTTTCCTTGTGGAATTGCTTTAGCTGCATGTCTTCTATTATTCTAATTCTGCACTAATGCTGACGAATGACTAGCATATTTCATAGCACTAATAATTCCCTATTTTATTATCACCAAGTTATTTCAGATGTTTACACTCTTTTATATGTCAGTACTACTACATTCATAACATTTTATAAATAAATGTTTTTTCATCCTGTAGCTTGAATATTCAACATCTGGAAACAGAGCTGTGATCAGTGCTAAAACTCTGTGGCTCACCATGAGCACACTCTTGGTATTTCAAAAAGGGTTTGCACTGTGGTGTTTTGTTTGAACAAGACTATATGTCTACTATGAGTAAAGATATCTGTTAGTCATATACTTCTGAAGGTATAATGCAAATTGTTTACATTAGGACAAAATTATTTTTTTTCTTTTATACTTCATATTATACTTACATTATAACAATATGACCCAGTATTTCCATATTAGCAATGTACATGGTCCTGTACAGGTATATAGATGGCACTTGCTATGTTGCTCACCTAGGCATGGTTGTCTTCTTGTTGTTGTTTTGTTTTAGATGTGTATTTGGGAAACACTTTTTTTTTCTTTTATTTGCTGCTAGAACCAAATAACAACTGAAAAGAAATAAAAAAAGTATTTTGTGTCAAATAAATAAAAATCCAACAGTTAAAACTAATTTTGATAACAAAATGATGGAAGTTATTGTGCAATAAAGTTGTACATAAGTTATTTCCAACAAAATTGTTTTTAAGAGACTAGTTTTTGATTACTTCCTTAACATCATTGAAAATTACTTAGGAGTTATGCATGTTTACACTTCCTGTTTACTAAGTAACATGATACACAGTTTCCACTGCTGGACAATCACAATTAAGCTATATAAACTATGTTTATTATAAAGTTAAATGAACATATATTTAAAAACAAACGAAAGTCATTCTTGAGATTGAGGGCAAGTTGTACTTTATGTATATTCAACTGTTGTACTCATAAAACATTACCTATTTAATGTGATATATTTCTACTCTGAGTTTTTGAATTGGAAATACACTTTCATAAAGTTGTAACATTAGAAAATAATATTAAAGTGTTAGAAAACCAATACCTACACATTTTATGATTACCATCTTCTATAACTTTTATTAGCTTGCACGTATCTGTACTCTGTCTTTCCTATTAATTAATTGCAATACTTTTTCCACTGGGATATTAGAAGTGTATATGGAACTATTAGAAACAAGAAGGGTTATTAGAATGAATCCTAGTTTTCATGTCTAGGTTGATAAGGATAGCAGTAGTGACTTAACTATTAGAAGATAAGTAAAGTATTTGAAAAAGTAAACTTACGATTCACCATAGGTAGCAGAATACTTCTGGTATAATTTTTAACATGTAGATGTAGAATCATTTGATAATGTATTACTACAACAGTTTTTTTTGTCTAATTCTTTGCAAGATATATATATGAATGTGAAAGATTGCATCAAGGTAACTTGGTGTTGGGTTTTTTTTTGTTTGGAGGTTGGAGTTCACCATTATTAGGCTAACTAGCAATATTTTATCTTGTTGGTTCTCATCCTCTTAATTATAATAAAAATGATTATACATAGATATATCAATCAAACCTGAAGCCTTACAACCACTACACATTTAATGTATAGGTAAAAAAAAGTATTCTATGAGGATTTCATACCTTCTACATCTATCCCATAAAATTCATCGTACCATTACAATGTATTAATATAATAAAACACATACTCACAAACAAATAAATATCATGAAAATAATTAGAGCTAAAGGCTCTTAAATGTAATAGTTTAAAACATTAAACAGTTCAAGGATATAGCATTTATTAATAAGTGTGTAATCTAGTTTGTTTTGTTTAACCTTATGTCCACAGGTGGGGTCAAAGCATGATGTCATGAACTTTTAAACTACTTTATTATCAGCGTGTATCAGTAAACTTGGCATTAATATTTAGTAATAAAATCAATTTTAGTATTATATAATGTTTAACTAGTTTGCTCTTAATTTCCCATTTTAGATACTCTTACACCAACTATAATATGTCATGAGTTCAACATAAATTATAAATTTATAGTATAAATATTGCTATGACAATCTAATATTATAGCATCTAATCTCCTTGCCTTAAGGCAATATAAACCAGAAAGTTAAAAGCATGTGCTGTATCCTCCAATCACATCATTCTCTCAAAAACTGTCAGTAGTTCTGACATTTGCTACTGGATTATTTATGATTGACAGAAATGGAAGATTTCAATTTACTGACTTCCATATAAAGCTAGCTCATTTTCACAATAGGTTTTGAATTATTAGGCCTACAGATTCATAGTTCTTATTGCCAAGGCTACCTTGTCCAGGTAAGGGAATTCTATTAATCCACTTATAATTTAGTTAGCAAGCCACTGAAATTATAATAATAGTTTTATGTCACTGTTATTTCTAGGTGTTAATATTTTGTGTTATTAGTTTCATATTTGAAATAAGTAAAAATTATTTTATTTACTACTACCACTGATACAGAAAAAAGAATTACATTTTGTTGTGGGCCAAGAACAAAAAACAAGAGGCCAAAAAATATGTACTAAATTTCATATTTTTATGTATATTTTTTATTTATTGTTATAAAAGTAAATAAAATGTAAAAATTAGGAACTTTTAGGGTTAGATGAGAAAACATAATTTTAAAAAATTTAATAAAACTTCTCCAAATTATATATGCAAGCTGCTTGTGTATTATGTAATTCAATACTTTATTTACCTTAAATAAAGCTATGTGCTTGTCAGGTGATTTATAGCTTTGTTACAAAGGTTTAGTAGTTGGACATGGTTCAAAGAGCACAAAACAATAAAATTAACTTACAACAGATATAAACTGTTACCAGCCTGAGACTGTTTAGGATAAATAATTGTAATTTTCTGTTACAACCTGCAGTCACTCTAGAAAAAAAAAAAAGGTATTTAATTTTTTTTTTCTATAGTAGTTATAAGGTCAGTCAAATGGACAAAGCCCATATAGTGTTAAAGATTAAGTTTTACTGAAAAATAAAAGTCTTTTGAGATTCATTTAAGAGGTTTTATACATTCTGAAAATGAAATTTGAAAACTGTAAGCTTAAATAAAGTACTCTTACTCTAAACGTGAAAATCAATTTGTACTAAGATCAGTCAAAGACTGAATCAGACTGACTAAAGTAAATTCAGAGACAAATCTTTAGTACTTTATTAGAAATTCAGATTTTTTTGTGTACAATATACCTGTTATATTTACCAAAAGCTTACCAAGTTTCATGAAGATACACGAAGTAAATTTAGAATCACAGAAAACATTAAGTCTTCCAAACGGGCTTGGTCTAAAAGCCCAATCCTGTGCATGTAGGGTTAAGCACAAAGAAACCTGGCACAAGATCAACAGCAGTGTAACACATTAGTCCTACAATGGCTCACTAGTAAACTAAAAGAACTTATAAAGCTAAAACTTAGAGACAAGTATAAAGGATCACGCTTAAAAGATTTCTTAGCTATATACAGTAAGATACACATGTGAGTAATACAATGGTAGGCTATTTGGCTCATGAATTCACTCTTCCTCAAAACAACTATATATATATACATCCAAAGAAAGCTAAATGTAACCCTTCAGATTTATGTACTTATTTGATAAATGTTTAAAAACATACATAAAACAAGCTAAGGTACCCATTCTGTGTCTGAGTTATGAAGTTAAAAAAAATGTGTGGGTGGATGCTATGCTAAACAACACAAAAATCCTAGCTTTCACACAATTTATTTATAACATAGCATATTATTACAGCATTCATTATTACCTCACCTAAAGTTTTGTACAAGTTTAATAACTCAATATATATATACTTAAAACATGTGCAATGGTCAAGGTGACTTTGGAAGAAGAGGTAGAGGCCAAAGTGGTGGCAGGAGTGCTTTCTGTTACCCACTTTCAACACCCACCTCTTAATATCCTTCGACAGTGTTTCACGTGATTAATTAATTGACGGTCATTGGTTGCAGAAGTGTCTTACGGGCCAAAGTTGAAAGGTCACAGGTCAAAGTACGAAGTGGGTACAATTCAAGAACCGGTTCTTCATATCAACCTTATGGTGACTGTTGGAGTAGAAACTTTAGCTGAGTTTATGTATTATTGCAATAGTGGCAGACATTTTTTTCATTGCATTCCTCCATAAAGAGTGCTAGTGCACTCTCTGAGATTTGTATGCTCTCCTCCACATTGTGTGTTACAGAAAATTTGATAATTTTATTGGTGTAAGGATGTGGTGCCATCTATGAATGTAGCCAACGTTAATGCTTAATAACAGTAATAATGGGGATGGAGGGGTTTGTGAACCCCCATTAACATGTCCATTGTTCTAAACTATCATAATAGACAAACAGAATTTTGTGCTTTATATATATATGTGTGTGTGTGTGTGTGTGTGTGTGTTGTCCAATAGTAAAAATTTAAGTTTAACACATATTTAAGAATCTATTATTAAAGTTTGTCATTCCAACATTTTCATTAAATACAGAAACATTACTATATCTAATGATCAACTTATGTATTAAACAAGAGTAATAAAAAATTATGAATTTTAAAATGAATTAGGGATCCTGCTATAAAGAGTAATAAAGAAAGAGTATTAAAAAATTATGATTTTTAAAATAAAGTAGGGATCCTGCTATAAAAAGTAATGAAAACAAGAATTAAAACCACAATCACAAATTTATAAAATTTAATCCTTATTTTGGCAGCTTTATACACTTATCTGCAGGCCAAAATAAGGATTCAATTTTATAAATTTGTGATTGTGGTTTTAATTCTTGTTTTCATTACTTTTATAG